GCCCCCACGCGGCCCCGCAGGCCGAGGCCACGCCCCCTTCCCGCTGTGGGTCCGGGCCTCCGGTTACCTGGCTTCCACGGAGAGGATGGAGGCCTCATCTTTGTGGCTCCCGGCCCCGCTCCCATGAATGGCTCTCGCTTAGGACGCGCGTACACGAGGCGCGCACCCCGCGGGTCAGGAAGGTGTGGGGTCAGACAATCGGGGCGGAGCGACGCGCACCCCGATGCAGCTCGCGCGTTTCGGTCGGAGCCGCACGTGCCCTCTGCAGACCTGAGCGGTGGGCATGGTGGCACCGGCGAGCCTCCTGAAGGAGCGATCCCGCTGGGGTCGGGGGAGGACAGACGGCCGCTCTGCCTGGCCTGGCCCCGAGCAGCGGCCCTGCAGGTCCAAGTTCTTAGGAGACACCTTGCTGCCCCTTTATCATCTAAATGGACAAAATGACTTCTTCCCCCTCCCCGTGTAATTTCATTCTCTCCCAAATTCCAGAGACCTTGTTTCCTTTGCTTCAAAGTAAGTTGTGTCCATTAATGGACAGCACAGAATAAAATTCCTGTCTAGGTTAATCCTCAGAAGTAAATCTTGAAACCACAAGTATAAAAAGCTAAGAAACAAGGAATTCATCTTGGGGAGTTAAGAGATGAGAGTCAAGGGAGTGGGGAGACAAAGGACTCATTTTTAAAACGAGACCAGTATTTTTAAAAGCCAACGAAAGATTTACACACAATTTTGGATGGTTACCAGAGGTGGGAAAGAGGGAGAGGGGAATCAAAATTAATAAAGGGGGTTGTTCTAAGGACTTTAAAAAAACTTTCTTTGCCTCAGAATATTGAAAAGTTATGTAAGATGTACTTGCTTGTTATATATTGAATGCTAAATATTGTGAAATGACATTTTGAATATGGAAATAATACCAGCTGCTGTGAACTGTGTGTCTGTCTGGCTGTTCTGCACATTAATAAAATTAGTTCTTGCTATGTAATTCTTACCATCATGTTTGCAAATGATTTCATTTCATTAAACAAAATTTTTAAGTCTTATAACAATAAATTGGTATAGTAATGAATTTTAACAACTTTTGTAGTTCCCAGTACAAATATCTAATGTTCTAAATAAAATGGCAAATCACTGTCATTACACTAGGAGGATGTTATACGTGTTTAAAGCTTAAGCTGTCATTGACTATGTTTAAGTAGGAATAAATCAGTGGAAAATGAAAGCATACAACCTTGGGAATTCTCATCTAAAATATAGGTATTTAAATGTTAAACCTTATTAACATTGTTAGGGAAAGGGTGACTTTAAAAAAAGTAAGGGGATCATTTATAAAATAATTAATTTTAGAAAGGGAAATTTGGAGTTGCCTCTGAATTAGAGTGCTCACTAAATAAACAGAGAAGCAGAATCTTTTTTTTTTATGTCAAAGTACTGTTCTTGTACCTTCAAAACACGATGACAGCAGAAAGCATCAGGAATTCTTTAGAAATGATAGCAAATAGATCGCTAGTATAGATCGCTAGTATTTTCATCCTAATACACTGTATATTTATCCATTGGAGGCAAGGATTTTGAAGCTCTCTTTCACGTATGTGGCCAGGAGGGACCAGTCCTTGGAGAAGGACGTCATGCTTGAAAGGATGGAGGGACAGCACAGGAGAGGAAGATCCCTGATGGAATGGATTGACGGGATAACTTTGGCAATGTTGAAGTCTTTGAGCCTGGCTCAAGATAGGGCAGGGTTCAGAGCTGTTACACGTTGGGTTGCTAGGGAGACTCGATGGCACATAACAACAATGAACTATATAGTAATGAAACTGGGCTTCAGATAGGCCTGTGTTGGATTCCTATCGGCTATGGAGGGTACCCATACAATGTGCCTTGTCTGTTTAACTGCTGACCAAAAAGTGGAGCGTTTGAATACACCAACTTCCTCCAGAGAAAAATGAGCGGTCTCCTGCCTTGATGATTTACAGACTCAGAAACCCAGTAAAGGCTCATTATATGTCAGACTTGGCTAATTGGCATTGAGTAGATACCAACTAAAGACTGGAAAAGTTTGGGAGCTTTTGTTGCATCTCTTTCTTTTTTTTTTCCAAGGAACATGTTTATTCTGTCACATGAGTGAGTCAAAGCCCACTTGAAGACACTGACAACATTGGCCAGCCCAGTAAACCTGGCCTGGAATCCACTTCCCCAGAGCTTTACAAAGTCAATGTGAGAAAAGCCATTTGCTAGGAGGCATCTCTTTCTTTTATAAATTGAAAATCATTTTTATTTCACAAAGTACTCGTATAAATAGAAAAAACTACACCTACTTTAAAGTTCTCTTCTTCCCAGTGTTAGCCATAATTTGTTATGATCCACACAATCAAATGCCTTTGAATAGTCAGTAATTAATACAAATAAATATCTTTCTGGTGTCCTCTGCTTTTAGCCCAGATCCATCTGAGATCAGCAATGATACAGCTCATTGACACAGCGTCTTCTGAAAAGAGGTTGAATTTCTAGACGCTCCGCATCGATGTACTTACTAGCTATAATAATATAATAACTATAATAACAACCTTCAGGATTTTACTTGCATGCGCTATTAAAGATACTGTTTAATAATTTACACATCCCATTAGATTACCATTTTTGAGAATGGAACATTGGATCTTTCCCTGTCAATTGACTTAGTAGCTGTCCTCCAAATTTCTTTGCATAGGCTAATGAATATGTCCAGGTCTGCATCTGTTTGTTGAAACATGGCACCTGGGACTCCATCAGTTCCCAGGGTCTTATCTTTTGAGGCCAGTGCCTCAGTGTAGTTTTTACTTCTTTGTTACCATTGGTTCTCGATCATATGCTACTTCCTGAAGTGGTTCAGTGTCACCCAATTCCTTTGTGTATAGTGACTGTACTTTTCCACCCCATCTCTGCTTCCTGGATCATTCTATATTTTGCTCATGTTGTGTATTGTCAAGTTAGAGCCAACAAACAGCTGACTCTCGGGTGGGTTTTCAGGGACAGTAAATTGGATGGAAAGTGGTGGCCCATCTTTCTCCCTCAGAGCTGCTGGTGGATTTGAACTGCATATCTGTGCATTGACAGAAGAGTGCCTTATCACTAAGCCACTGAAACCTGTAAAGACTTTAAAGTAAAAAGAAACCCACAAAAACTTTAAAGTTGCAAAATTTACCAAGATAGCACATGTAAAGAACTCGATGCATGTTGTTAATGACTTTTGGTGACCAGCTCATGACTTTGTTTATAGGATTGTAAGAACATAACCAAACATCACTTAATCCTCTGCCGTCAGGGTTTTCCTCCTTTTTATTGGTCCTCCACCACATATGAGAGCTGGACAGTGAATAAGGATGACAGAAGAATTGATGCCTTTGACCCATGGTGTTGGAGAAGAGTGCTAAATAGCTCATGGACGGCTAAAAGAACAGAAAACTATGTCATAGAGCAGGTGCACCCAGAATGCTTCTGGGAAGCAAGGATGACAAAGCTTTGCCGTGCATGTGTTGGTAGGAGAAGCTTTTCCTTGGAGAGGGACGTGATGCTTAGGAAGGTGGAAGATCAGTGAAAGAGAGGAAGACCTGTGACCAGATGGTGTAACACAGTGACCGAGGCAGTGGGCTTAAGGGTGTCAAAGATGATGCATATGGCACAGGATGGGACAGGGCTTTGATCTGCTGTTCATGGGGTTGCTGTGAGTGGTACCCAACTTGACAGCACCTAACAACAACTACTATGTGTAATGTCCTTTTCTAACTATTGGTCTTTCCTGATTAAATGTCCAAAATGAGTGAGTTGAAGTCTCATCAGAATGTTCCTGATAATATTTCTTATAGTTCATTCTGTTGTTAGTCCACGGTATATTCAGCATTCTTTGCTAACACCACAGTCCAATTTCATCTATTCTGTCTTCCTTTTTATCACTTTGGCATATAAATGAAGTTACTGAAAAATTACGGCTTTGATCAGACACATTGTGTTCCTCAAAGTAACAGCTGCTTTTTAGAACTTTAAAGATCTTTGCTTATAACTGCTCTGCTTTTCTTTAAGGAACACCAAGTTGAGTTGAAATTTCTGTCTTTGCCTTTGCTTTATGTTTTGTTTCTTTGAAAACTGCTTTCCTCCAAGCTTAGAAATCTGTGTGTTTCTCCAAGTTGATTAATTTGGGAGATAATTTCTTTCTTACAGTTTCTGATAAGGAGATTCAGATATATGTCCAAATATGTCAGAAGGAAAAAAACCCACCCACTTTGTAAATATGGTGGTAGAAGTATTAAGTTCGAATTTCTAAAATCTAATAGCCATGTGGTTGTTGATTGCCATTGAGTTGAGCACAACTCATAGCGACCCAATGAACCAAAGACCTGAAGCTATAATATCGTTTCTTCAGGTTCATAGAGTTTCCAGAGATATGTGGTTTAGGAAGTGGATGCCACTCCTGCTTCCAAATGATCATGCTAAAAATGACAGGTTTTAGAACATGAAGAACAGCTAAGTGAAGATGGGAGAAGATGGGGCGGGGGAGGGGGAGAAGCTATTGAGAGGACAGGTGAGCAGGCGGTAATTGTGAGGTGGTTTTTGTTCCTGTATGGCTGCTAACCAGTGGTCTGCTAGTTTGAGTCCTCTGGAGTCACAGCA